GTTTAAGCGGCCTCCCTCCCGCCCCCAGCCACCGATCTGGCCCCGGCCCTGTCCCGACCCCCGGCCTGGCCCCCTCCGGCCCTGCCTGGCCGAGCGATCTGCTGGGCACACAGGCGGCCTCCAGAGCAGCGCAAGCCCATGAGGGCCGCGAGCCCGGGCGCGGGTGCTGACGAGACGGAGCTCCCGGCCCCCGAGGAGGAGCGGAGGATCAATGCGGTTCAAGAATCGGTTCCAGCGGTGAGAGGGATGGTGCCCCCGCCCGCCGCGCGTTCTGGAAGCGGGTCCCTAGATGCCTCCGTCTCGCGTGTGGGTCCCAGCGCCTCACCTGGATCCATCTCCCTTGGATCCCGCGCCTTGGCGGGGGACCAGCTCCCGGGGATTCCCCGCTCTCCCGTGCCGGGCAGAGACCCTTCCTCCCGACCCCTGTCCCCAGACCCCGAGACGGTTCCCTCTGGGGTCCCCTGGCTCACCCCACTACACCTCCTGACCCCCATCCAGGCAGGGTTCTTACAAGACTGAGTACCCGCGCCCCAGCCCGGATGCCGCCCGCGAGTCCTCCGACCCTGGCTTTGGCCTCCGTCCCTTTGCCTCCAGGGTGGGGTCCCCCGGGGCCAGCGGAACACAGGTCGCTGCTGGGCCCTGCACAGGGACTCGTCGGAAAGCAAGGGTGCCGGGCGTCCGAGGTGCTCTGTCTTCCGTACGGCCCCGGCGGTCGGGAAACTGAGGCACGCCCGCCTGCTTCGCCTTGCCCGGCCGTGGCCCGGCCTTGCTGATTCTCGGGTTTTGCGTCCCAGGGCGGTGCTATTTTGGGCTCCGCGAAGGGGCGAGTTAGCCTTCCGGAGGTGAGACCTGCTGTGGAGGCGCCTGACTTAAGTAGAAACGTGGAGGCGCCACCGGAAGGCTGGTCGGCTGCTCTTTCACTTGTGGGAACGCCAGTCCGGGGGGCACCGCGGCCCTGCCCACTCTGGTCTCCGCGGTGTAGCAACCGGTGGGGGCTAGCTCCTGCTCCGGAGGCGAAGCCCCGGGCTTTCTCTCCTGTTGGAGGGAATGAAAGTTCACCTCCCCTGTGTTGATGGTAACTCTCCATCCTTTTGTGTGAATCCGGCAGCCGTCCCCATTCCCAGACCTTCATCACCAGCAGGCCACTTACAGAGCAGACGGGAATTTCAAAGAAGAAAATACATGCAGTCTCCCGACGGGGTTATTGCTGAGTTGTTTAGGCACTGCCTTTTTTATATGTAATTATTTTATTTAACTTTATTTATTATTATTATTATTTTCCAGTTTGATCAGAGAGAGAAAGAGAGAGAGGGAAAGTGAGAAAGCAAGAGTCAAGGTCCGGGACTTGAACCACGGATGGCCATGTGGGAGTCCAGCACCTTTAACCACCACCACCTGCCAGCCCCAGAGACACTGACTTTCACTTCAGAATTTTAAATTGCACGTTTTTTTCTTTCCGGTCTCCATGTTTTCGCTGCCCACTCATTCGTGCTTATTTCATTCTTCCTCTAGTCCCAAAGGGTAGAGAAGCCAAAAAACATAAAATTAAAAAAAATTTTTTTTTGAAATTCAGGAATAGTGATGATCTATACCAGTACTGTCAGGCAGGGGAACCCCTTGAAGACTGGGTTGCTCATAACTCAGGATGTTTAATGCCAGGCCCCATCCTCCCTCCCGATGAGAACTTCTTGTCAGTGCTTCTAGGGGCAGAAAGGAACCATGGTGTCTGGCCTCAGAACCTGGTGTCAGGAATGAAGACTAGGGGGCTGGGGGGCTTTACAGCGAATATAACATGTGTTCAGGCGTGATCAGAGACGCCCCGTGCATGTGGTTTGTTTGATTTGGTTTTACTTTTCTGCACATCTGTGTTCTTCCTGTTTTCAGAGAACAGTGGCAATATTCTGTGAAATTACTCCTTCCCTATTTGATTAAGAGTTTGTATTTTCTGGCCCTTTGACTCTTCTCTAAAGAGAAATAAAAAAAACCTGTTTTATTTGTTGCACAAACATTAAAATGATATTTAAAAAAATGAAAGAAACTTCATTTGGGATCCTACCATCTCAGCTGATTGAACTGCCTTTCCTCCAGACCCCAATGTCTTATAGTACAGAAGTAATGTAATCTTGCACTTTATTCATTTGAAAATGAAAAATATAGGCATTTTTGTTTGTGCTGACATAGGCTAATAATTTTCTCAGGGGCTGTGTGGTATTGCATTCAATGGATATTTAAATTTCTTTTTAGGTGACATCTAGACCTTCCCTAATATTCTTTGAAGATTTGAGTGATCCTCTAACTTCTTTTGTCACTGTTTAGTCTAATTTGGAAAGATTTCAACTCATCAGTTTGAACTTGGAAATAAAGCCTACAAATAAAAAGTAATAAAGTCCTGATTTTTTGTGGTTTATGTGTTAAAATGTTGAGATTGCTGTTTTGTACCTTTTAAAGCTGTCTTCGTTATGTATCTTTCTGAGCATTCACCTTTAGTAAACAGGTAGATGAATTAACAAAGGAACTGGAGGAAGAAACACACTTGTCTTTGAAAGTGTTTCCTCTCCCTGATAGATTTCTTAGGACTCAACTGAGTGTTTCATTGCAGGAAAAACTTTTCATTAGGGTGTAGTTTGTATCTATGCCTAAATGATAAGAAAACACAAATGCCTTACTGGTTTGTTCATAATGGAAAGTTGGTGGTTGTCGTGGCTTTGGATCAACTTTCAGAGCTCTGCCATTTCTGCAGAGAAAGGCTGTGAAGAAGCAGACGGTTGTCCTAAATGGAGAGTGTTTCACAATCATGGCTTCTGAAAAAGCTTAGGATGAGAAAACCTCCACTGGGACACAGTGTATTTTACCTTTCTTGCTTCATCCCTTTCACAAGTCAATCTCCCCAAGACACCTACACCCACACACAATCTTTCTCATCCCATCACATCATTCTGACTGATGATGAGAATGGCTGACATTTATTGAGTGCCTTCTGTGCCAGGCACTGACTGGGTACTTGTATATTACTCATCTCACTCTTAACTGTGACTCTGGAAGACAACTTTTCTACCCATTTAATAGAAGAACGAATAGGTATAGAGACTGAAAGGGAACTTGTCCATAGTCACACAGCTAGGAAAGGGCAGACTCAAGAGTGCAACTTCATGTCTCTCCACTACCCACGCTCCTCACTCACCTTTCTGTCTTCCTGCCATGCCACCCCATCTATGTACATAGTGTAGAGGAAGGATGCACAGTGTGTCCAGTGTGTCGTCTTGATGGTGCGTGCTTATTTCTCTAGCCTTGCATGAAAAAATCTAAGGGAAGGGATGCTGTTTTCTCAGTGTCAGCCTTTTAACCACAGATTAACTTCAAAATCGAATATATGGTAAATACACCATCTTACTCTAAAGCATTAAGAAGTCTTTCAGAACTGCTTATTCCATTTTATATGTGTTGTCAGAGCATTGAATAATACACATGGAGTAGTTCCCTTATATTTGTCTTCCCTTTTTTTAATAATTAAGTGCCCTCACCAATATCATCACTTCTGGCAAAGTCACTTTTCCCGGGCAAACAGTATTTTCAGTAATAAAGGGAAGTGAATAGTAAGGTGCTGTGCGTAGGGGTCAGCTTGTGTTGCAACATCAAGTGATATTGAAGGGCCCTTAGAATAGGTTGTCTTAGCTTTGAAGAGTTTTCTTTTCATGAGATTAAGTGTTCTTTGGACTCTAGGATTGCCTGTTTCTCTTACATACAGAACCTGCTGAATCCCCAGAAAAACTAATTAACTATGAGATATTTCTATATTAAGACAAGATAGTTTAGCAGTAGCTAGAATGTTTGTCTTTTAGTCATTTGTTCAAAAATTATTTAGTAAGCTCTAATAATAAGCTGGACATTGTGAAATGCAATGGTGGACAAGATAGTCTACATGGAGTTCACATTACAATGAGGAAAGAGGAAAGAAAAATATCACCAAATTCTTACGAAGTGTGATAAGGGCTCTGGTTGGCTAGAAAGGGCTAAAGAGATACTTTAGGTAGGTTGATCTGGAACATCTTTGAGGAGGTGACATTTGAGCTAAGCTTGATGGATGAGAAATGAGCTGAGTGTTCTGAAGAAGGTTCTCTACAGAAGTTGCAAGTGCAAATGCCCTGAGACAGATAAGATCGAAAATATGTTTAAGGAGCTAAAAGATGATGATGTAGTTAGAAGGTGGTGAAAAGAAAGCAACATCTTGAGGCTGGAGCAGTCCTGACAGTCAGACCACTCAGGCCTTAGGGCCCCAGATCTGTTTGAAGTGTTATCCTAACTAAATGCTTTGAAAGCCAAAGACAAGTTTAAGTTGGGGTCTGCGTGAGTGATGTGATCAGGTTTCAGTAGACTCTAGGCTGCTATATAAAGGAGAGAATGTGCAGGACCAGTTAGGAGACTGTAGTTTTCTAGACCTGAAATGTTGGTACCCTGAGTTAAAGTAGAAGCCATGGAGCCGCAGAGATGAATTGACTTGGAATATACGCTGACAGTAATTGTTGAGAATAAGGAACACACAGGGTTCTTGGACAGCTTGTAGAATTTGATCTTAGATCTACTGGTAGGTTGCAGATCTACTTTCAGGGGACATGTGCTTTGGGCTGAATTTAAAGTGTGCTAGTATGCCAGGCAGTGTCTTCTGAGGCCCTATCTGTTCTCCCCTTCCACACTTTTGAAATTCTGCCATGAAGGAGGGCAGTGGGTGCCACATAAGGACACTGGGCAAGAGAAAGTGAAGGGATGTGTGAACAAACTCTGCTTAACTGATTGCTTTATTAAGTGCAGTTTTCATTCTCAGGACAAAAATCACCTTCTAAAGCGTGCTGGTTATTCTACTAAAACCTTATTAGGTAGCCATCAGTGTTACTCTGCCTTAAATAGCAATGTCCTCCATAAATAGGCACTGTTTTTCCATAACACTTGAACCTTTTCCATTCTTTTTTGGGGGAAGAGATTAGGCTCAGTGTGTAGGAGTTCATTTGCATTTTACATCTACTTTTCCATTTATGTCTTAGGAGTAATTTCTTTAGGAAGCTGTGGAGGAGGCATGATTGAATTCTAGCAGGTCAGAGAGAAATGGAAAAACTGTATTGTAATTTCCCAGCAGAATAACTGCTGTCTATGCTGCTGGCCTCTTGACAATGGACTAACTGTTCTTCACCCAGATAGTTGCTCTTACCTGTTCTTATTGCTTGCATCGTGTCCTGTCCATCAGGAGACACTGCCTTAAGTCATCATTTCTTTTTCTTTTACAACTTCTTACTTTATTTTTAATTCGAATTATTCCCTATGAATAGGAACTAAGCTGTCACAAACATGGCCACCCAGCCTATTTGCTTTTAGGAGAAAATATGAAAGTCTATCCTTATTGCTGTGTAATGCCCAACTATTTTTAGATAGGGCTGCCAGAGATATAAATTGCTATTTTAGTCTGTAGTCTGGTGGTGGGTAGACAAATCCTACTAACTCCATTTTACACAGAGCACTTTCAATTTAATCTTACCTCAACCATCTTAGATGTGTTATTCACATCAATCATGGGAAAGCTTTCCCTTTTGAAATTCCTAGTAGCTATGCTACTTACAGCTCTGTTGTTATGTCTCAAGGTAATGATGTGGTAGATCCTTCAGTGCTTCAGATACTTTTAAAGCCTTCTTCCCAAGAGTGTAATTAATTTCCTTTTTACCAGTAAGAGCTGTATAGCAACACTCTTGTCCCTTAGGAAATTAGAAAAATTATTTAAAGGATATCAGGGGAGAAACGATGGTGCTTGATTAGTTATCTATGTTTAAGAATAGCTTGGATAAATTCTGAAGCTACTAGTTATATATTTCTCTTAAACAGTTTTCAAATCATCTGGTAGATTATACTCAGTAAGTATATATTTGCATATTGATTAGATATTTATCCCATTGATAGTCCATGTGAAATATCTTTACTGGGACCAGCAGGTGGCATAGCGGTTACATTGCTGGACTCCCACATAGCTGACTGTGGTTCGAGTCCTGGACCCGATGGTTTGAAACTCACTCCGTATGTGTGTGTGTGCGCCCAAAATCCTGAAAGGAGAATGGAGGAGAAGGGATTGCACCATGGCCATCCTCTTGGGGGAGGGGGAGGTAGATTTCTCACTTTCTGTCTCTGGTGAGTGCTCGAACCCTATAGCAAAAATCTCTCTTAAAAAAAAAAAATCTCTCTTAAAAAAAAAATTAAAAAAGAGGGGACCAGCAGGTGGCATGGTAGTTAAGGTGCTGGGCACATGGCTGACTACAGTTTGAATCCCAGACCTAGTGGCTTGCTTTCTCCCTTTCTCTAACTCTCTCTATGTCTCTCTCTGGTCAAATTAAAATAAATGAATGAATAAACAAAATTAAAATAAATAATTCTTTAGAAAAAACAACAAATATATTTACTGTCCCAAATTCCCATCTAAGCTATCTCTATTAGATTAACAGGGACTGCCATTTTAATTTTACTTATTTTATCTAAAGATAACAGGCCTTAGATTAGGGAGAAAATATTAGCTAGTCTTTTGTTCGTAAACTGAACCCTTAGAATGTTGTTGGTCATGTGTGTGAGGTGGTTTTGATGGTTATGGTTTCGGGTACCATTTTTTATCATGTGAATGAACAAGGTGTGACGTCTCAGAACTTGTTAGTGGTAGAAAACACTCCCCCACCCCAAATTAGTTTGAGCAAAAGGATAATTTATGTGTGAAGCCTGTCAACATCTTGCAGACTCCAAGCCCAGGAATGCAGTCTGGCCTCTGAGACTAAATGCTGTCAGGGGCTCCTCTACTTGTATTCGTTGCTCTGCATCTGCTAGTTTGCTCTTTATTCAGATGGCTGCCTTTTCCTCCTGAGTTTACATCTCCCTTCTTCCAGAGAATAGTCAGACTAATCTGTAATCCTCACATGAAACCTAGTGTGGGTATGGATTGTGTTTTGGGGGACATCCTCACCCACACACTGAAATGGAAAAATACTGTTGTCTCTTTAGGTCCTGTGATATTCATGCTTTCCTCTAGTGTTGATTGTCACAAGTTAGCCCAAAGGGAGTATAGAATATGGGCATGTGTCTATATGCCTAATAGATTTTTATGTTTAGATGCATAGAGTTGCTTGTTTGTATTTAAGTTTAACTATCAGGCAGTAGTCATGTGTTTGGTTGTGAAACAAACTCTTAATTCAGGAAGAAAGAAAATGAAAATGTGCCTTCTGTTTTAGGTGGCCTAGCGATAGTTAGGTCATTTATTTAAACTGTTTGGTGCCAGAGCAAGTAATACCAATATAGGGAAACTAGTTGGACTGGCCAGTTAATTGTGGGATATAGGATTTAAAGAACTTTATACACTTTGAGAGAGAAACTAGAAACCTTTCAAATGCCATGTATCTCTTTTCATTTAATGGCAATAACTAAAGTTCAGAAAAATTCCCCTTTTTTGTTGTTGTTAAGATTGGTGGTGCCAAAACAAAAGTTGTGGTTTCTTTATTTTCTTTCTTTCTTTTAAATGTAGAAGGTAGAGTTAGAGGGGTGGATATGGTTTTCTTTCTTTAGCTTTTGATTTGTTGAAACGTTGATTCTTTTGTGTAAACCAGAAGAATACTTAATTCAGTAACCCAGACCATTTGCTTTGGGGTCATTGCTGTTGGCTCAGGTTTACCTTTGTAGTGGCTTAGACTTTGTTCTTGGGAACTAGGTATTTCTACTGGTCACGTCTTTATTTATTGACCACTCACTGACTGGCAGGCATCCTCATTGTTTTTCATGTGCTTTGAGCTTTTTTCACGTGATATCTTTTTTGTTTCTACAGGTTCATGAACCATCGGGCCCCAGCCAATGGCCGCTACAAACCAACCTGCTATGAACATGCTGCTAACTGTTACACACATGCAGTGAGTACAAGTTTCCTGCCATTGCCATCCTTTCCACAGGGCTGATGGGAAAAGGGGTAATTATCTCTAGTAACTTCAGCACGATGAGTCGGATTCACCTATTTCTGTGGCCTTATCTACCAGAATATGAACGCTGGCCATGTCACCAAAAACTATGTGAGCGTGTAGAATACTTCATGTGTTGTAACTAGTCAGCTCTGTCCTGGAGTTGCTTTCCCCACCAAGATCTTTCAAAGATTAATAATGTAAGTACTCTAGTTATAGGATAAGCCAAAACCAAACAACCAACCAACCAAACAAACAAACAAAACAACAACAACAACAAAAGATTTAGCTTGCCAGCCTGGAATGAGATGAATCACCTTTTCAAGGCAATCGACTGTGTTCATTTGGCAAGGATTGTTCACAATTTGTTAAAAAAGGTGCTTTTTCTTGCTAAATGATCTTCAGAAACTGAAAGCCACATCCCCCCACCCCCCAAGTGGCTGCTGCTTCTTAGAGCAGATGTTATTCCATCTGCTGCAGAAAAAGCTGATGTAATCCCTAAATTCTTTGTTCACTTTTTCCTTCCTTATAAAAATAAAATGTTCTCTAGCTACCCAGTAGTGAGGTGGTTAAGGTGGTTGGATCTCATATGACCATGTGGTTCAAGTCCCAGACCCAGCAGCTTCAGAAGCACATCAGACACATGTGCCTGCATGCCCCAAATCTGAAGGATGAGATAAGGAGAAGGGATTGCATTAAGACCATGCCCCTTAGGGGCGTGGGGGGTACTTTCTCACTATCCCTCTCATAATTTTGCTTCTTCAGTGGTTTCAATAGTCACTTTGAAAGTTACATTTAGTGAGGTTTTTGAGAGAAAAATGGTGACTGTCTAGTCTGAAAACAAGAAATAGTGAAGGAGGCTAACTTACTCCTTTAGTGAAAAGTGTTTAGAACAAACTGGTTTAGGTTATTATAGACAGTATTGGTACAATAGAGTGGTTTGGATATTAAAATACACAATTCACCTTTAGTAATAATTCTTGTTTAGGATGGAAATGAATAATCTTTAACTTATCTCTTCTGAATATGTTACAAGTTAAGGAACATTTATATAAACTAAAGTTAGAGAAAAACTCAAAACCTCCATGTTAATTTTCTAGAACACAATATGTAGTTTTATTAAACATCGTAAATTTTTGGATTTTAGAGACTAGTACAATTTCTAAAATACTTTAATTGCATCATTTTATTAAAGAGAGAATACTTTAACATGAGAAAAGTAGAAAGGACACAATCTTAAAGGACATTACTTTAAATCAAATAGACTCTGTTTTATGATAAATTTGCTTTATTGTCTTTAACATTCTCCTTTTGCTCTGGGCCAATGAAAGCTTCAGCATCTGAAAATTTATGCTGATCTCATCTAGGGGTTTTAATAGACTATTGCAGGAGGACCAAAGTAGGTATTGAGGGGCTGGTAGGTGCCGTGGTGGTTAAGACACTGAACTCTCACATGGCTGACTGCAGTGTGAGTCCTGGACCTGGTGGTTAACTTTCTCATTTTCTCTCTCTCTCTGGTCAAATTAAAAAAAAATAATAATAATAAATTAATTCTTTTTAAGAAGGAGATATTGAGATAAGGAGAGAGAAGAAAATAGCTAATGTTTGCATTCTTTGCCAGGTATGCTTATTATAATATCTAATAAAGTAGTTTATTTCTCCTGGGGCTTTCTGTTATTATAAAATGTTTTCTGGTCATAGTCTTATAACTAAACATTGAAAATTGTGTCTATATATACTATAAAATGTAACACAGAAAACAAAATTCTAAGAGTCTGGTCTTTTAAAATATTTTGAATTGATGATGGGCTTTGAAGTTGAATTACTCCTGCTTACTTACAAGGTGCTATTAAAAATGAAATAGCTCCCAAACTTACACTTTGTAGTAGTTCTCCAAATGATAGAACGTACAAATCTAAACTAATTGATTTTGTGTATGTATGGTGTTATATACAGTATAATTTTTATTGATTTAATTAATTCATTTACCTTTTTCTGAAAGATTAGGATTCTAATTGCTTACAGAGGCAACAGAATACTATAAAAGCAGACCTCCTTGGGAAATCTGGATATATGCTATGCATTTGAATATTTTAAGTACCTACTCTAAATCACTTTAGAGAGCACAATGAAACATGTCCTTACTTAATGAAATTAGGATAAAGTACATCTGTTTTGTAGCAGTTGAGTAATGTTACATCTTCTCTGCTTATTTGCGAGCCTATTGCTTTGCACAGTTTCTGAGCCCTGTACTGCAGTGCCTTCTTCCAGTGCTGCAACTATTGACGTCATCCAGCTCTCATTGTTATTTTCCAGGAGCTGCAAATGTTCACTTTAAAATTATTTTTCTAAAATTGTTCCTGGTAAAGCTATGCATTTTTAGCAAAAGTCTCAGTTTGGTAATGCCAGGATATTTACTTCTCTTTGCCTCTCTCCCAGTTCCTCATTGTTCCGGCCATTGTGGGCAGTGCCCTCCTCCATCGGTTGTCTGATGACTGTTGGGAAAAGATAACAGCATGGATTTATGGAATGGGCCTTTGTGCCCTCTTCATCGTTTCCACAGTATTTCACATTGTATCATGGAAAAAGAGCCACTTAAGGTACAGTGGATGGCACACTGTTTCAACAGAACAAAGCAGTTGACTCAACATGTTGGTTAGCCTCCCAGCTGGCTTGTTTTGGTCAGGTGGGATGAGAACAAACATTTTTCCGTTTTGTAGACTTTCCCATTATTGAGGATATTTTGGGTTTGGACAGAGTTTGAGGACCCCCCATATGCATTTAAGAAAGCTGGTCTTTGCTCAAGGATCACAAACAATACCTCCTGGTTTCCCTGGACTTAGAACTTAAAACCCTGAGAGCTGTTCTCTAAGTCTGTCAACACATTGAGGATAGCAGAGAAGAGCAGCCGCCGTGTGGTGGTGACAGAGCACACTGAGCTAGGAGTTAGCAGTCAGACTTTGAGACCAGTCCTGCTGCTTAACGTTGGGTCAGTCAGTTGACCTTGTGGAGCCTCAAGTTCTTCATCACCAAAATAAGAATATAATGACTGAGTCCATGGGTTATTGTGATAGGTGAATGAGATAATGTATTTTAAAATGATCTGAAAATGACTAAAGGCTATAAGACCATATGATATACAGAGATCTAATACAGTTTGCTGTTTTGTGAAATTCAACTTTCAGAATGAAGTCTGAGATGTATTATTCAAACAAAATTTATGTATTTTGCTGTTATTAGCTGCCAGATACTTTCTGAACTATTCTGTAACCTTTGGCCTTCCAACAAGAAGGACATAAAAGCATTCTCTGAGTGAAGGATTAACTTAGGAGGCCACAAAGGCAGTAGGACACCACTTAGGTGGGAATGGGTTGCTTGCGAAATACTCTGCTCTGAATCCCCCTGTTTTGAAGGGAAATGTTACCCTTTGGGTTATTTAGCATCTAAGGGTGCTTACAGTAGTGTCGAATATACCTTTTGGCTTTATAGAATGTCCCTAAAATCTCAAACTATTCTTTCTAATAGCAAAAAGATATACTTAATTTGTGAGCTATGTTTGGGGTTTATGAGATGATTACTGGTTTTCTTGCATTAGAATCATAGAGTTTTATTAGATCTAGAAGGATTGCTAGAGATTAGTTCATCCAAACCCCCTAGTTTTCACTTGGGGAAACAAGTTTAGAGAAGTTGCCTGAGCCAGCGAGATCAACAGAATCTGATTGTCCTGTCTGGATTAGAATCTGTCCAATTCATTTTATGGATAGACCTGAATAAACTAAGGACTTTGTATATTTACTTTCTGAGTTTTTGAGAAGGAACTTGCTTAGAAATCCAAGTGGCCACCTTCTTGCAGCAAATGTGCCTTTCTTATTTTTGTGACTTCTGTTCTTAGTTTCTGAATTTTCTTTATCACAACTTACTGTTTCCATTAGGATATTGGAAGTGAACGATTCTTTAAACGCCTTCTATCTCTCAGTCCTATATTTTGTGTACCATTATCCCTCACAAGATCATATATATTTTGCAGTCTTTTGTCTTTTTTCTACAAGGTGACAGTTCCCTAGGCTTAACATAAAATCACAGCATTAAATCACAAGGGTGCCCTAGGACACACTCACAAGAGAGCCACAAGAATACCTGCCTGGCCCCTCAGGATAACTGTCGCAGAGCCCAGAGGCCAGTCTGGAAACAGAGCACTTCATTATATTCTTGGCACGATTGATGCTTGTGGTTGCCTCAGCAGACTTGGCTTAGATGTCTAGATTTCTAAATCAATAAAAAGTTGTAGTTGCCTTCTTCAATATTCAGGGCCTCCCTGCCAGAGGCTGGAGAAGAAGATGTAATATAGACTGGACTCTCTTGAATCTTGAAATTGCACTGTTAGAATCATAGCCACATGTAGATTTTTGTTCCGCATTAAATTTTTTAAATACCCAAATATAGGCTTAATTTAAATAAAAAAGTAAAGGGAATTAGTATTTGTTATGTGCTAGATGCTAGGTACTGTGTTAAATGCTTAGCTGACATTATCTCATTTAATGCTCGCACATACTGTGTGAGATATTATTTTTCACTTTACCTGTGAGGAAAATGAGAGTCAGAGAGGTGAGTGGCAGATTTTGACTAAGATTCTGGGTCTAACTGCCTGCTTTAATAGTCTAAAAAGCAGAATTAGAAAGGCCTCAAACCTTGCTAGGAATCAGAATTACCCAAAGAGTTTAACAAATAAACAGAAAAAGATACTTCCTTTCCTTCTATCCTCTATCATATCTTCTAATTCTTGTAAATTACAATCTTCTGGACCAATCTCCACAGCTGTATCTTATAGGCTTCCTAAGTAATTTAAATATGCAGTCAAGTTTGAGAAGCATTGTCAAATAATTTGCTTCTTCAGTAGACTGAAAACCATTATTTCTCACAGTGGTATTTTTCACTTCACTAAGTACAGGTCTTCCTTAATCTCTTTTGGGTGACGATGTATGTGTGGCAAGGTAAAGTCTAATACTGCTGCTCCATCAAATCATAGTTTTTACCACTTGGATACTGAAAACACCTGTAAATCCAAGACTGAACTGGGCATTCCTACTTTTTGATCACATCAGTCAAGGGCAGATTCTTTCCAATTTATTTTATGGATAGATCTCAGTGAGATAAGGTCTGTGTACATATACTTCTTGACATTTCAAGTTTAGAAGAAGGAACTTGCTTAGAAATCCAGGGACCTACCCTCTTAGAGCAAAAAGCATTTTCTGTTCTTATTGCTCTTTCTATATTTATTTCTGCATTTTATTTATTACAGGGTCAGTCCTATTGCCTAGTGGTTAGGGAGCCAGATCCCACATGGCTGTGATTCTAGTCCCTGCTCTGACAGCTTGAAAACCATGCTGAGCACAAATGTGTTCCATGTGTGCCCAAATCCTGATAGAGTGGAGACATGAAGGAGAAGGGATTGCCGCATGACCATGCCCTGTTGAAGTGGTACTTTCTCCCTCTCTCTTTCTTTGTCTCTCTGTGATGAGTACATGTGCCCATGACAATTAAAAAAAAAAAAAAAAGTCCTGGGCTAGCCAGGTAGTGTGGTGGTTAAAGTGGCCAGATTCTACATGGGCAACTGCACAATTCAAGTCCCAGACTCAGTGGTTTGAAAATGCTAGGCCTGTGTGCATGTGTACCCAAAATTCTGAGAGGAGAATAGAGGAGAAGGGATTGTGGACTGGTCTCCCCCGCTGAAGAAAATTCTGAGACTTTGCCTCTCTCTCTCTCTCTCTCTCTCTCTCTCCAGCAAGCCCATGTGCCCTGTAACAACAACAAATAATTTTTTTTTTTTTTGGAGAGATTTTCACTGTAGGGCGCGTGCGCTCGCCAGACAGACAGAGAGAGACATAGAGACAGAAAGCGAGAAATCACCCCCCAGGGGGGATGGTCACGCCGCAATCCCTTCTCCTCCATTCTCCTCTCGGGATCTTGGGCACGCACGCACACGCGCCTGGCGTGAGTTTTAAGCCACCGGGTCTGGGACACGAACCACAGTCGACTACGTGGGAGTCCAGCGACATAGCCATTACGCTAACTGCTGGTTCCCCAACAAATAAATTTTAAGTAAATTTCCTTTATTAAAACTTTGTGCTAAGTTATTTGAAGTAAAGGCTTCTTTAAAAACATTCTTAAAAGACATGAAGAATGAGACTTCAGTTCAGAGAGCATTTCATGAGTGTCGGGACTTTTGCCAAGTGCTGTGATAGGAGCTTGGGGAAGTGATCTGCTCTCGACAAATTTTGTTTTTCTTTTGGATAGGATCTCAGAGAATTGGAAAACACCAGAGAAGACAGATTTTATTTGCTTTAACTAATTTCGACCTCTTAATTATTGTGTGGCCATATTGTGTCTCATACATGGTGAGAATGTCTATTATGTGTGCAACCTAAAAACGAATACGAAGTCTTTACTCATGTCTTCATAGTTGTAAAGGAAAAAGAGAAAAAAAAAAAAGCCAAGTTCTAAATGCTGTAAGAAACTAGAACAAGAATGGAAATTGTCATATGTGGAATAACTCATCTTTTCAGTCTGAAAATTTTCTGATATCTTTAACTTGTCTCTTTTTCCCCACTAGGACAGTCGAGCATTGTTTTCACATGTGTGATAGAATGGTTATCTATTTCTTCATTGCTGCTTCTTATGCTCCTTGGTAAGATACAATCTTTCTGAAAGTAGTATTTTTATAATTAGAATTCCTCACTTCTTTTTTTCTCTTTTTTTTTGTCCCTGCTCCCAGCCTTCATGTATACACCTCCTCCTAAACACATACATGTGCTTTTCCCCCACAGTTTGATTGACTTGGGTCAGATTTGCAGAGCTGAAGGAGGAGAATATTGCTGCTGTTTCGAGTGCATATCTGGACGTTAGATTGTTTAAAAGGAAGTGTGTGTGTGTAGGGAGCTTGCTCCCTTTCGAAATATATAACCTTTGCCCTCCATACTCTTTCCATATACCTCTATTGCTGTCCAGAAATACTTGGAAATTGGTCAAATGGAAATGCTGTAAATATGTATGAGGAAAGCAAGCTTATTCTGAAACATATACCATTTGTCTTCAATTCACTTCACAGCACAGTAGCTACTCTATATCAAGTGTATTTCTCATTTCTTTTGCGAAGAAAACTAGCCAAATTCGTTAACTATTTAAACTACCTAGTATTCTGTTCAATTTCCTTAATGTTACTGCCCTTTTGGTAAAGATCAAATGAGTCTTCTGTTGCTTTGAAACCCTTCATTAAAGAAACATTAGCTTTCTTCTATCAAGACATAGTTGGGTTTTAAATACACGTTCATTTTATGCCAATCAAGTGCTGTAGTCAATAGAAACAGTAGGCCTCTAAATTCTGTCAACTGCAGCATCAATTATTAAAGAAACCTAATTATCTAGTGGAATAAAAAAGTAAGTGCTATCTCACCCCAACACCTCTTACTAAATTATAGGTCTGCTTCATATTGGAGCAAGAACACTTAATGGCTTTTGTGAAGTACACTTCAATTTAAAGTAAGTAAATAAATGAAAAGAAATCTTTAATGTGAGCTAAAGAATCAAATATCAAAGTAGGCAATTTATTCACATTAAGTCTTAGATATGTAAGCAGTTCCTTTTCCATTTGAAAATAGGAGTTTTTGTGAAGACTTTCTCATACTTAAATCTGTTTTTCCCCCTCATGTTTATTTTTAATGCAAATTGGTACAAATGAATTTGTACTATTTTAAAATTCAGGCCTCACAATATTCAATGTTCACTTCTAACATCTCTTCTGTAACACATGTCGAGATAATTCTTCTCATGTTCTCTTTTGGCAGAGGGATTGATAATGGAGACGCTTGGTCTATGTATTAGGTGTCTGCCCTGGATATGTGATCCTGGTTCAGGATTTTCTTCAGGGTTCTTATTAAGCTTTGTAAGCAGTCTGCTCCCAAATACATGGTCAGAAATAAAAACACAACTAGCATTTACCTCTGCCTGCCTACTAAGGAAAGTCAGGCACCACAGGTGTGCTGGGACTTGCTTCTGCATGTCTGCTTTTAGCTGGTTCTATTTTTAAACCATGTGGAAACTAATTCTAAATTTTTAAGGTCAATTCACAGTTTTACGTTCGAGTTATTAATTTTGCCCCAGTTGTCCAACTGCCTTCTTGATGTGTTGAGTGCTTTTTCTTTGTATTCTTAAGATTTTCTTTCTCAGTTTTCAGTGACTATAGAGGCAAACACAGGTTCTTTGAATCCTCTTCATTTATCTCTTCTGTTCTTTGTTGTCATGTTTACATTTTTAGGTTAAATCTCCGTGAACTTGGACCCCTGGCATCTCATATGCGTTGGTTTATCTGGCTCATGGCAGCTGGAGGAACCATTTATGTATTTCTCTACCATGAAAAGTAAGAGAAAATAATTTACATTTGATAGTTGTAAAATTAACTGCCTAAATTTTATCTGCATTGCAATACACTTATTGTATAACTGCAGTTCAAACTAGTAGAAATACATAAATAGAATATGTATTATTTTTAAGAAATCTTCAAAACTATTTAGTATTTATTATTGATTGCTATAGAAAGTCATGAATAGCATACATCTGGTAGAAGGAACAGGATGGCTAGTCATTTTGAAGTCTGTCGGGCCTTATTTCTTATCGTGAGGCTAACTGGCCTTATACTCTAATTCAGTCATCACATGAGAAAATTAACCACTTCTCAAGGTTTCTATGAAGACTGAAGATGATAGATATTAAGTGCCCAAAATAACACTTACCTAGCCAGGAACTTAGTGGGTGTTCCAAGTAGGATTCCCTAAGAAAAGGGAGGTTTAGAAGGACATCTAAACTCTTCAGTTCTTAGCCTTATGGAGATTTTTTTTTTTTTTTTGAGAGGTTTTTTGCTATAGGGCGCATGCACTTGCCAGAAAGACAGAGAGACACAGAGAGATAGAAAGCGAGAAATCACCCCACGGGGGGATGGCCATACCAGAATCCCTTCTCCATTCTCCTCTTGGGATCTTGGGCACGCATACACACGCACCCAGCATGAGTTTAAGCCACTGGGTCTGGGACTTGAGCCGCGGTCAACTGCGTGGGAGTCCAGTGACATAGCCATTACGCCAACTGCTGGTCCTGGCCTTATGGAGAATTTTAAAAACCTATTATTTATAGCTGGTCATCATAGTATTGAGCAATTTAAAAAGAAAAGCATATTAAAATTTAGTGTATTCATTCTAAAGGATGCTTTGAAGGTTCTCTTTTCCAGCTCATGTTTAAAATGTAATATTTAGGACATGTATCCAATTCATGACATCTGGAAATTAGGACCTGAAAGTCCCAGTTCCTATTCTGTAACTCTTTTCATTACGTCATATGCTTGAATTTGAGAAACAGAAGATTACTGTCATTGGATTTGTTAATTTTTAGTTCATTTTGATTCTCTACTGTGGTTAGTAGAATGGTTCTTAGAATTGAATATAATTTGTATATATCAGAAAGTATTGTTTTCCTTTTTCAGAAGAAAATGGAAATCTTCTCTCTGACTTGGAAATTCATTTAAATACCTTTGTGACCATAGTTAGCCAGATTGAATGCTATTATATAGTCTGGGGGAACAGTTTGCTTCTTAGGCTCAAATCTCTAATTTATATTCTTGGATAAAAATAGGAAGTAAAGTAAGGTAGCTGTCTTTTCCCCTTTTCAGGCCTTCTAGTATAAAGGAAACCCTTAAACCCATTCTTCCCCTGATATGATTACTTCATGGTGGGCTTTAAATATAAAACAATAAGAATGAAAAGCGAGTCAGCCTTGGCCAGTTTTGGCAGATACTAGAGAATAAATAGTATTAGGTTTTGCAGATCTGATATAGTGTAATTTGATCCCTGCCTTTGAGGAGCTTATAGTCTAGTTTGGTAAGTCAGAAATGTAAGTTGAATTTCAATACAATGTGTTCCTTAGAGGTTTTTAGATATCCAACAGCCAATGTGATAAGCCTCACAAATTAAGGTTTGTGTAAATGCAAAATAGAGACAGGCAAAAATCACATGCACTTCCTAAGGCTACTTGTTTTGTTTTGTTTTGTTTTTGCCTCGGATATACTAGGCCCCAGCCTGTATCCCTATCCATAAGTTAACTTTTTTATAGCTCTGAATTGGGATGGTAAGGAAGGCAAACACTCCAGGATTGGCAGGGGAAAAGTGCAAGTACATTGGATTCAAAAGAACTACTTTTGGTGGAAAACATTTTCTAGGTAGCATATTAGCATTCTTTGCCTTTTAATCCTAGTTCACTGTTACTCAATAAGGTATTTTACTTAGAGATCTAATGGCCGCCTAGTGGGAAATGCATTTCATTTGAATAGTTAAGAGTTTACTTTTTTTTCCTCAAAGAAGAAACGGAAAAGCTGGTAAATGGTCTTAGTGTTATACAGATGTATACATGAAATTAGCTTCATTTCTATTCCCACAGGTATAAGGTGGTTGAGCTCTTTTTCTATCTCACAATGGGATTTTCTCCAGCCTTGGTGGTGACATCAATGGTAAGAAGTGGCTTCATAATTTTAGTTACTTTTAAAATCATTGTATTCTTTTTGTTGTTTCTTTGTTTTGTTTTTTAATGATTTTGTCATAGGGCACATGTACTTGCCAGAGAGGAACAGAAAGGGAGGAGAGGGTGAGAAACCATCCCCTAGGGTAGGTGGCTACTTCACAATCCCTTCTGTTCCATTCTCCTCTCAGGATTTTGGGCATGCACGCACACATGCCCAGTATGCTTCTTTAACCATCACACCACCTGCTGGCTCTACTGGCATTCTTAATATGGCTAGAGATATGATATGTAGTTTTTCTTTCTGAAGTTATGAAATATCCATTAATTAGAGTCTCAGAAGAAAAACTGTGTGTGTGTGTGTGTGCATAAAATGACTTGTGCCAGCAACTTGTGCTAGGTGCTGTCTACAGTTTGAAAAAGCTGAATGTTTAGATATGTTTCTTTTTTTCTGGTGCTCTTCTGCAGTTATTTCTTTTGGATGACCTATCTCTCTGTCATTCCACCATATCTCTTCTCTCAGAGGTTTGTGATTATGTGAAGGTGAATGTTTCTGATTGAATTGCTTAGCTTCTTAACCCTGAATCCATGGAAGAAGGTAAACTTTGAGGTTTCTCACAATGAAGAAAATACAAGCTACTCACTTCAAAAATTTTAAGAATTAGATTATAGGTCATTTGCTCCAGTATTCTACCAGGTTTTTTGTTTGTTTGTTTGTTTTTAAACATTTTGTTGTAGGGCATGTGCACTTGCTAGAGATAGAGAGAGAGAGAGAAAGTGAGAAATCATCCTCCAGGGGTATGGCCACACTGTAGTCCCTTCTTTTCCATCCTCCTCTTGGGATTTTGGGCATCCATGCACATATGCCTGGCATGTTTTTCAAGCCATTGAGTCTGGGACTCAAACTACAAAGTCAGCTGTATGGGATCTAGCACCTTAACTTCCATACCAACTTCTGGACCTCTATTAGATATTTTTCACATTCCTTTACTCTTAATTTGTTTTTAGGTCATACTTCTCTGTCCAAAGAAAGTGTCTTTTTTAAAACATTTTTATTTTGTTTAAAAGTTTCTTTTGGAAACTTTTATGGATAGAGTATTAATATTACTTGTATAGTATATATATATATCTTCAATTCCCTTTCAAGTTGAATTATTGTTAAGACATTTAGGTGTATTTGAAATAAAAATGTATTACAACCTCATGACTCCATCCAGCAGGTTACTTGTGCCTTTAGCTTATCTACTGCAGTGTCTTATGCACTACCTTTTTGGGCTCAAGATACTGTATTAATTAAGGAAGTCTTAATGTGTTTGGTTAAATTTCCTTTCCAGTCTGTAGTAGTCAGAAGAACTGTACCCATGATTTCACTCCTGAGCTAATAAGCACATTGTAATAACATAGTTCCACTATACATAGTTCTTGTCCTGTTCAGAAAAAAAGAACACCTGTAAAAGGTTTAGGAGTTACAAATTTAATTCTGTTTGTTCAGTGGATGTCTTATGAGACTGTAACAAAATACATTTCTTTGAGGTACGAGGTATATAACGGCTTCAGTAATTCGTGGCACCAAATATACAAGTAGTTTAGTTGATAAAGGCAGCAGGGAATAGTTAGGAGAGAGAGATGAGTGACTGAACTGAGGAAATTGGCCTTGAAAGCTGTACAGTTAGAGGGCTATTCAGGACACTCAAGTGATGTAAATGAGGTCTATGTAGATAGATTACTAATTATAAGAGTAGAATTTCAAGTAAATTCCCTCTGGGTATTATAACAGCGGGTTTAGCCAGTATTTTTACTAGACTAAATCTCTAATTGGCATTTTCATAAGTAGTGCAATAGCAGGTAACTAATGTTTATGGTAATCAAGCAGGATAATCCCCATACTGCCCTCATAGAACTTAGAATCAAGAGGGTAAGTACAATACATATTAAATAAGAAGCTATGCTGAAATTTTGTAATGTCTTTGATAGAGAAAAGTTCAAGCTGCTGTGGGAGCACATGACTGAGAAACCAAAGGAAGTGATATTTAACTGATTCCCAAAGACAAAATAGAAGCCAAGAGGTGGTAGGTATGAATCAATGTTATAGGTAGAGAATTCTCTGTGAAGGGAGCCCAGAGAGGGGGAAAGTCACAGCATCTTTGAGAAATGGAACATAGTTCATTGGAACACAGGGAGTGTGATGCTGTATGAATATGTATGTATACATGGTAGGGATAGATGTGCATGTAGCACATAGCACATGTAGCAATAAAGCTGAAGAGCTACATAGTTCATATCAAAAAGGACCCCAATAAGCCATCTGAACTAATAAAGTAACAGTATGAGTGAGGACTCCAAGCTTTGCTTCTGGTTAGAATCATGGGTATCAGACTTACCCATCTGCTGTAAAGAACTATAAAACTGGCAAAAGAACAGAAGTTTTTTGGAGAAGATTTTTTTGGCATGGAACATAGACCATACAAGACTGTGATCCTTCAGGGAGGAGAAACCAAAAAATGAGCTTCACATTCACCCCAACTGTTTCCCTGGGGACATTCTCCAAATAGCAGTAAAAGGAAGCAGAGCTCAGAGAACAGAAGTCTTAGTGGAAGAAACAGAAATCAGTCTTTCAGGTCCCTGATGCTATAGTATGTGGGGCAGGGTACCAGAAAGGAGGGAGCTGGTTGGAGAAGAGGCTTCAAAAATTTATAAAGGCTTTTTCCTTCAGTCTTTGCTGGACTATTAAACTGGGTTTATACAGGGCAAAGAAAATGACACATACAACAGGTCACTAGAAACAGATCTAAAGATGACAAATGTTGAAATTTGTATATAAGGACTTTAAATAACTTTGAATAAATGGATGAGAAAGCTCAGAAAATAAATGAAGACTATAAAAAAGAAACCAATTGGAAATTCTAGATTTGTAAACTGATTTTAAATAATTAATTGGAGCTGATTGGATGCTGCAAAAGAAAAAGTCAGTGAACTTGAAACTAGTTTAGTAGAAATACAAACCAAATCATGAAAAGAAGAAAGAGTGATTAAAAATGAAGACAGCCTTAGTAACGTGTTGGACATTATCAAGTGGTCTATCAAAGCATAATAGAAATAGTTAGAAACGTTTCCAAATTTTGATGAGAAATATCAACCCCAATGATCCACATAGCACAAAGGAGCCCAAGCAGGATAAACAAAAAGAAAACTAAACATAAACACATCATAGCCAATTATTAAAAACCAAAAGTGAAGGGAAAAAACCTTAACATCCGTTAAAGAAAAAAGAGCAAGAATAGAAGAATGGTCTTTGACATCTCATCAGAATCAGTGGAGGTAAGAATTCAGTGGAATGGCATTTTTTAAATACTGAATGGAAAGAAAAATCAACTTCAGCTTGAAGCTAACTCAACTTAGAAATATTAAATAAAAGTGCTGGAACTGATAAACTTCTAAGTGAATACAAAAAACTTTATTATTTCTTAATTACTTCAGAGGATACTGTGGGGGTTGATAACATGTAGAAGATATGAAAGGACTTCAAGAAATTTATGGAAAAATGAAATTAAAATACGAGTTTATTTTGGTGCAAAAATTTCTGAAATATACACATACCTTTTTCATAATACATATTTTCCATGAACCTTTTGAAGGCATCGTGCATATAATAGTAAAGAATGGAGATGGGGAAATGGAAGTATACTGTTATAAGGGTTTTTACTTTGTGTGGGGGCTAATAATAATAATATATAAGTTAAGGATGCACTTTGTAATCCAAATAACTAACTAAATAAATAAATGAATGAACAAATGAATATTATGGCTAAGAAGGTAGGAAAAGAGGAAAAAAGAACAAATGGATGAAATCAAACAAATAGTGGCAAAAAAAAAAAGCAAAATATACAGGAAAAAGAAATGGAAAATTATTTGTTGATGATAACACGTATGTTGATATGCTTGATTGAGCCAATACACAGTGTATTCCAGATGGGAAATTCCATTTTGTATGCTATAATGATGTATAGTGAATGAATGTAAATAAATAAATTTAAATAAAAAAATAAATAAAAAAGAAAACAAATAGCAAGATGGAAGGCTTAAACACAGCTATATCAGTAATTATATATATGTATAGGGGTGTGTGTGTGTGTGTGTGTATGTGTATGTATATATATATAGTATATAATAACAATGGTGTGTGTGTATATATATATATATAGTATATAATAACAATTAAATAAAAGTATATTGAACACTCCAATTAAAAGACAAAGATTTTCAGATTGGTTAAAAAACAAAGGGCCAGCAAAAGTGATGAAGTGGTTAAGTTACTAGACTCCCATATAGCAACTGGGGTTTGAATCCTGGACCTGGTGGCTTCAAATTCATGCTGGGCATGTGTGCATGTGTGCCCAAAATTCTAAGAGGAGAATGGAGGAAAAAGGATTGTGGCGTAGCCATCCCCTCTGGGGGATAACTTCGCACTTTCTCTATTTCTCTCTCTCTCCCTCTCATGAGCACAATCACCTTATAACAAAAAATCTCTCAAAAGACCTCCCAAAAAGCAAAGAAGCAAAACCCCAGACTCAGTTATATGTGTTTCTATGAAACATACTTTAAACACAAAGACAGAGGGACCAGGCAGTGGTATAATAGTAAAACACAACACTGTGAGACTGACCCCCATGGGAAGGTTCTGAGTTCACATCTGGAGACCACCCTGTGCGACCAGGCACATGTATGTGCGTAAACCAAGGCTTACTGAGGCTGAGGGTAGATCATGGCATCAAGACCCTGCAAGGGTCCTGGCTGTCTGTTTATCTCCATGTTTCTCTCACTCATGAAAGAAAGAAAGAAAGAAATAGATGTAATTATATGTGTGTTTGTGTGTGTGGACAGAGAAAGACAAAGACAAGTTAAAAGTAAAAGAATGGAAGATATGCCGTGAAAATACTAATCATGAAAGCTGAAATGGTTAGATTAGTATTAGACAATGTAGATAATTAAGAC